CATTTCCCTTGATTTATCTGTCACCAGCATACACATGCTTTTGCTCTGTTTTAAATCTTTCTATCAGACAAAAATAGATTCTATAATTGATATCCCTCTTAAAGAAGTGTAACTTTCCATCTGGGATAAAGATCTGAAAAGTCTTACTGGGAACCTGGACTGCTCGAATGACCCCAAGATTCCTCATCACTCACCAGACTCTCATCCTTCTTTCCCTGAAAGGTGTGAATTTGACCTTTTGATTGGTCATCATGATTGCTATATTCAGCTACTGGTGACTGAGACACAAATGGCTTTTGTGGGGGGGACATCCCACAGGATTCTATTTGAGGAATGCCAAATGGTTTTCCAGGGCCCAGCTGGTTCCTTGGTCTCTTGCACAGTGCCTGAAGTGTGCACAGCTATTTTTGTTGAGTTATAATATTATTTCTCACAATGAAATCTAATATTAAAGCTGAAGACTCTCATGCCTGCTAGTTGTGTGGCTTTGGGAAAGATGAAAAGTCCCATGCTTCTGTTTCCTCATCTGCAAGGTGGTAGTAATAGTATCCACATCACAAGTTTCTTGCACAATTATTATGTACATGCATGAAACACCATTTTTATATAAAGTTAACTAAGCTAATAAGGACAATCAACAGCTGTAAAACCTAAAACCCACAAAAGTGACAAGATAACATGTGTAAAAGTGGCACTTACATTTTAGGGGTAACCATTCAGCTCTCTAATTTGAGTTGCTCAATAGGAAGGAATTTATGCCCAGTACTCTAATCCAACTACCTGGCTGGTGAGGTTATGGACCCTAGAGGAGAACATACTACTAGCATTTTCTAAACCAATATAATTTCAATTGCATTATAAATACATATTTTATATCCACAGATAAGTGTAGCTCTCACTTGTCATCAAAAAAGCATTTAAAAATAAAACGGAGACTGTTTACAAGATCCATCACTGGTTAAAATACAGAGAGCAGTAGACCATGGGTTGCCCAACCCCAACTGTTACATGTGGAGCACAATCCCTACATTGTTAGGAAGCACTGCAGAGAAGGGGGAGGAAATTGTAAGGGACAAAGGACCACAATGTCTGTTGTGAGATAGTCTTCTACATGTGACAGAGAATCTGCACCCATGAAATCTCAAGAGTATGGTTGGAAAACAACAGTTCGACAATGACACCAGTTGACATGCCAGTGTGGAGGAGGGAAATCTTACAAGACTACACCTCTAGATAAAATGCTATAGACAATTAATGGCTGCTGAGATATGGAGAATTATTTTTCTCCAGGAATGAGTCCTCAATAGGTTAGCCAATCACAAGTGGTCAGCCCTAAACACATACATGAGCAACTTTAAGTGGACTTAGCACATAAATGTTTATATATGTATGTGTAACAATAATAATTAAAAGAGAAGAGATCAGTAATTTGAGAGGGAGTGAGAGTACAGAAGAAATTGTTGTGAGGGAGAAGGAGGAAAAGAAACGATATAAATATAGTATTTGTGTATGACATTTTCAAAAATAAATTAAAAAATAAATAGAATTTTTAACCCAAACTGTATCTCAGTCAGAAAACCAAAATGTAGACACCAAGCTAGAGGAAAACAAAACCTTTCATCCATGAAAATAAACTGGTTAAAATAAAAGCTTGTTTTTTTTCTCTTCTCCTTGATTCTAAACAAATAGCTTAAAAACAGGAAGAATTTGAAAGCTGGACAGAATGAACTGGATTTTCTTTTCTTCTTTTGTTAGCTAATTGAATTTGAATGTTCTGGTTGAATACACCTACCTCCTGTTAAAGTCTTGGGAGAGTGGACAAGTTTGAGAATTTTGTTTATGTAGGCTAAAGTCTTAGACTGAAATGGGAGGTTTGGGAAGGCGAGAGCCAAGGACTGGAGTTTGGTGGATTTGGTCTACAACTGGAAGAAACTGCAAGTCACTGGCCTCAAGGATGTTAAAAGTATTGTCTCTTTTGAAAGGATTTTCATGTTCTATGTGTGTGATCCTGGCAGTGTTCCTCAAGGGAGAATATGGAACATGAGAAAGGGACTTGGGTTGTTAGAATAACTTTAACATGAATAAAAGTATTGTTATCCATCTAAAAAAGGATTTATTTCGTACTTAAATGACATACCTGATTGTTTGGGATTCTTTTCTCACTCAGCCCCTCTCAAGACCCTGGCTGGTAGTTAGAGCAGCCTCCATGGGATTTTTTCCTACTTGTTATAGCCTAGGGACCCAGAGAAATGGGAAGAGCCTGAGCTGACAAAACTTCTACCTGGAACTAGAATATTTCTCTCCAACTTAGGTGATGCTAGCCAAAGCCTAGACATACGCACCTGTAAGGGAGCAGAGATACACGGTCCTACCAGGTGTTTTGCAAAAATGGTCAAGTTTGTTTCTAGCATCAAACTGTAACATCTCCCTAAGGGACTTGCTAGCTCCTACATTCAGGAAGGTAAATACTGTGACTCTTACCCTGTGCCTTCCTCCAAGAGTCAGTCAGCAGCAGAAGTGAGGTAAACGTCAGGTGTCAGACACTGTGGAGTGTAGCTGTGATTAGAACACAAGGATTCCTCTCTCCTTTCCTGCACTAAGATAAGATCCTGACCCTGGATGTATAACCTGGATGTCCCTAAGCCATCATGAGGCTGGGAAATAAATGAGTAGTCCTCTCTAAAGACTGAAGGAAAGACATGTGTAAGGGCACATGGTCAAGGAAGGCTTGTGTTTTACCTGGTGCCAGGTAACCTTTCTAAGGGAACTTAGGTATTTGTCACCATCTACTGAGCTGACCCTCTGGAGGCCTGCAGTCCTCAGGCATGAATAAAAGCTTTTATGAGACTCTATCTTAGAGATTACTGTATGACGTGTGTGTGTGTGTGTGCACGTGCACATGTGTTTTTGAGTGCATATAAGTATGTATGTGTCTATGTATGTGTGCATGTGTGAATGTATGTGTGTGTGTATGTACATATATGTGCATATGTGTTTGTGTGTATGTGTTCATGTGTATGTGTGAATGTGTGTGTGTGTGTGTGTGTGTGTGTGTGCATGTGTGTACATATCCATAGTCTCATGTATCACAGTCAAGACTTGTCTTGAATTCTTGATCCTTCCGTGTTCAAGTGCTGGGATCAGAGGTATGCAATACCAAGCCTGGAAGATTCTTAAAACTCATGTTTATTTAGGTATAATTCATAATTAACATACATATAATTTATTTGATTTAATGTAAAGTTTTAAGAGTTTGATAAATGCTTTTATTCATATAACAAGAACATTGTCATTCCCTTAAGATCTCCCATGTGTCCTTTTGTAGACAATCTCACTTTCAACTCTGGCAATTGCTGACCACAGGTTTTTCTTTTATGGGTTAGAAAGGGTCTGATTGAGTCAAAGCTCTTGTAATAAACTCTGTTAGCATTCTGTAACCCTCATTTTATTTATAATTATAGTACATTTTAAACTTATTAAATAGTTGTTCAGAGCTGGGGAGATGGGTTATTTGTTAAAGCACTTGCCAATGCAAGCATGAGGATCTGAGTTTGATCCCTAGAACCCACTTAGAAAAACTTCGTGTGGGGGAAATGCCAGCACTGGGGAAGTAGAGACAGGTGAATCCCAGTGGATCACTGATTCGACAGCTCTCAGTGAGTCCCGGGACAATGACAGCACTTGAGGGAGAACACTGGAGGTTGACCTCTGGCTTCTATATGTACATGTGTAGTTACCGTCACACACACACACACACACACACACACACACACACACACACACACACTACTACATAAACATAGACACAGAAATTATTGTTGTTTGCCTTGTTTCTTCTTCTAGAATTGCATAAACATCAAAAAGAGAAGGAGTTATCTGGCCATTTGTTACTGTATTTTTTAAACAATGTTACCAATTAGAGGCTTACAAATATGATTGCATGATCAATGAATAAATGTAATTCCACACTCAGTGGGAAATGTCTTTAAGTCACTAGTCACTCATCAAAAGTGGTATTCAGCTTATTATGTCTCAAGTCATAGCATTCAAACACTTCTGAAGAGAGTTGGAAGTCCCACTTATTACAGATGAGATAGAAACACCTTTACTATTTTGACATGGCGTTTGCCATCATTTTGCCCATGCACATGTTTAAATTTGCTTATTTCCTAGTATTTTTCACCCCATATCTTTTGTAGCAGATCTGACATGATGGTGAGGCTCAGGAGCAGGATCGCGAAGTCCTCAAAGTCCAGTTTGTTTTCTGTGTGCTCATCAAGCTCAGAAAGGATGTCTCGGTATTTTGGCTTGCTTTCTTCTCTCTGAAAGCAGAGTATAAGTGAGTATAAGTTTATACCTCTCCTGTGTATAAACTTCATATTTAGAGATGGTAATGAACACTATACATATGTTGTTAACAATCTAGCATGGCCAGTGCCATCACATAAGCACTGAGAAAATCCTTCCATGGCTTGTCTCTGAAAGCCCTTACACTGATCTTCCCGCATACGTTCTTCCTCTATGCCCAAGCTGTGGTGGACCACCAGAGAATTAAATAACTTGTTTCAAAGTAAGCAACTTTTTCTGTGGAGCTAAGATTTGTGGTCTTATCTGCCAGATTCCAGAGCTACACTCTTAACTAGTAAGTTATTCTACCTTTCTTCAGACACAGAACTTTCTGTGTTTTCAGATTTTAAATATATAATCTCTTGACTATAAGAGGTATCACTTATGTGTTCCATGGACTATGAGATTTTCAGAACTACAGAATGAACGGTGCTAGAAGAAAGCACATTGCTTTGTGTGATTGTTCAGCATTTAGTCTGATTGTCAGTCATACTCAGGCACATAGCTGTTATACATAGACTGCAGGAAAATGTCTGAACAGCAAATTAATGGAGAGCCCTTTCAGTTTCAAACATTTCAAACAACAGCTGGGAACTTTGACATTAAGCAAAGAAATGTCATTTGAGTCACTCTGGTGCATAGCTGCATATGCATTCAGTTTAACCACAAATGCTCATCTGTACACTGGCTGCAGAAGTTCCAGGAATGCTTGAGACATTTTTGGAATGATGGCACATTCCTTTAGTCTAAACCCATCCTTGTTTCTTTAGACTGGCTGTCCATCAGTCACATCTTTAGCCAGAGTCAAAGGAGCTCTTAACCATTTGCTACTAGAAAGCTGAACACTACTTGGAAATGGTCAGAGTTCAATAAAAGGACTCTCCTGGTGTGACTGCCCAGTTTTCCCAAAGATCATGTTAGTGTAAATCTCTCTGTTCCCTCTGTTCTGCATATGGAAGGAGCAGGGGCCTGCTAAACTCTAGTCACTGAAGGGTTAACCAGTCACTTTGTTTTAATATCTTCTAGGAAATGCTCTCAGGTGCTAGTTTTATTGTATTTTACTGGTAATTATGTATTAAGACTGGAAATTGTGCTTAGGTTTATGTGAAAGGTAACATTCTCTTTAGGACCTAGGCTCAGCAAAACGGTGCCACACATTTTATCAGAAGACCTCTCACCCCCTCTGCAGAAGGTTTAAAACAGAAGTTTTCAACCTGTAGGTCAGGACCAATTTGGAGACCTATGAACATTTCACAGGGATGGGAAAGAGGTAATTACATTATGATTCATAACAGTAGCAAAATTACAGTTATGAAGTAGCAAAGAGAGTCAATTTACCGTTGGCGGTCACCAAAACATGAGGAACTATTTGATGGGCACTAGTGCTCACACGCCTGTCTTAGAGACAGAGAGCATCACTGTTGGGCTAAGGCAGGGTTTTCATTTTACATGTTTGGCAAAGTTTTACCAGCGTCATTGATCCAGAGGATGCCCTTGGATGAACCATCCCCTCCATTGCCCTGAAATGAGCCTTGGCTTTCTGGATCTGCTCACCACAGGGATTACATTCAGGCCCGGGTGTGTCTGCTGCAGAACCTGGCTCCCTTGTTTGATTTTACCCACACTGCAGGACATAAAGCTGAGGGCATCTTCCCTAATAAATGATATTTTTAGAAGGATGATAGTTTATATCAGGATAATGTTGCCACTCACTCCTTCCTATGCTTGTTAAATGCCCTCCAGACATCTGACCCCGAGATGAGAGGCTTATGTTCTCTCTGGGATACATAGTTTATTTTGGCAACAAATGCGGGCAAATATGACAACAGGATTAATTCCCATCTCCTTTATTTAAAATCCCCACCCAAAACAGTTTATCTCAAGTTCTACCAAGTATTTGTGTTTAAAAATAAATTTTCCTTAAAAAATATTTTTAAAACATGCAGATATAATACAGAATATTTAGAAAAATATTTTAACAAAAAATGTAGGCATAATTCTCAAAGAATGCTAAGCCTCATTACCATTACTTTCTGTGTGTGTATGTGTGTGTGTGTCTGTCTTTCCCTGTGTATGTGTCTGTGTAGAAAGAGGAGTGTGAGTGTGTTATGTATATATGATATGTGTACATGTTATGTGTAATGCAGGTAGGAGTCCATTTGGAAGTCAGAGGACAACCTCAGGTATTCATCCTCATCTTCTGCCTTGTTTGAATCAGGGTCTCCTGTTGCTTACCACTCATTACACCTAGATAGGGGGCCAGGTTGTTCCCAAGGATTCTCCTGATTCCAAGGTCCATCTTATTGTAGGACTGCTGGGACTACATATGCTTGCTATAATGGGCACTGAGGATTCAAACTCAGGTCCTCATGCTTGTGTAGCAAGTGTTTTACTTATTGAGCCATCTCTCCAGATCTCTGCAGTCATTTTTGTATGTTATACCATGCATATGCACGCTCACACATACACAGATACACACACTGACGCACATACTCACAGGCTGATAGCACTATAGGTTCACTGAAAGCTATAATCTTGATCTGGCTCTTCACAGCAAGTAATATCTTATATAATTTAGTACACAAAAACTGAATACATATATACACTGTTATAGAAAGACAATTGTTATCTTTTTAATATCTCAGAGCTTTTAAGAACTTTTAGACAACTAAGAACTAAGAACTTATAGACAACTTTTATATATTTTGTTAGACCAGCCTCTTGATCATTACAGGGTTCAGAGTAAATCTTGGTGGCTTAGGCTTGAGTATATCGTTCTTTCTTTCTTGTAAGATTCCATAGATCAATATTTCCCAAAGTATGAGCATATGCATATGACATCATGTAAGTCAATGGTAGAAGGTGTCAGAAAATTAATAAAACAGTAGGTAATTCTTGTTCATACTTCAAACACTATATTTATTTTTAATGTTCAGAATCTCTTTTTTGCTTTCTCGCAGCAAGATGATCCCAGTATTTTGCCATTTGACTACATGCTCTACTCAACTGGAATTGCAGCTCTGAGCCACCACACCCACATGTTAGCTCGTTCACCAAATTCAGTGGACAACTTAGATACAGGAGATTCTCAATAAACATTTGTTGATTGAAATAATATGATGACATCCTGGAGCTGGAGTTCCTTGCTGTTTGGTGAGAGGCTTCTTTATTCATGCAGTTAATTCTCTTACCTCTGTGAAATTCCTAAATTGGGTTTGTAGCAGATTCTTGGCAGTGGCTTTCCCAAGTTTACCATCAGGGTCAGAAGCATCTCTGAAAACCAGAGCAATAGTAGCAATGGCTTTTTCCAGATCTGACCCCTTCTTCAAAGCTAGGAGAGAAGAAATGTGCAGTGAAGAATCAAATAAGAATGACGCTTTGTACAGACACAGGGATGTGTCTTCCACAGGAACTGTGGGGAGTAAGTTTGAAATTGTATGTCAGTGTGATCTAGTTCTTGGGCACATTGCTCCCCTTCTTAGAGTGAGATTTGGGATTATCTGATTCTGAATCTTTAAGCAATATAGCACAAAGGTTCCTTTCATAGCATTTGACCTAGTAGGGTTGAGATTTGATACCTGCCTACGATGTGGCCCTGGGGAAGCCCATAACTTTACTAAGCCTTGGTTTTCTAAGATATACTTTCATTCAGTTACTCAGCAATTATTTACCAAGAACCTATTGCATGTTAATCTTATCTTTTGGTATTAAAAGACACCATGTAAAGACTTCAAGTCCCATTCTTGTGCAATTTATATTCTGTTAGAGATGGTGCCACTTCATGTGAGTTTGATAAGGGTAATGGCGTCAGGGAAAGTTGTGACATAGTAACAGTTGCATCAGGTCTTTTCCTCAAACACTGTGATGTTCCAATTAGTTTCTCTAATTTAGGGTCCTTGATTGGGAGGACAGTGCTGATTCCTTTCTTCCTTGTGGGCAGCATCCAATGTACACAGAGATACAAAGATCCATTTGAACAACTCTATACACCAATATATCTGCAAGGACAGATGATCATACTTTATAGATGCCATGTGACCTTTCCTCTCTAACTAAACAACACTGTCCATGAAGTCAGAAGCCATCCCTTTGTTTTTCTCCCTATATTCCCAATAACACTAATGTCTGCTGCATAGTAGGGCTAGTCAAAGCCATGAGTGAATGAGTAAGAGAAAGAGCAATAGATTTCACAGCTGTTAGTTCAGGCAATATACAGCCATCTTGGAGTCAATGAATGCTCAGTTAGAGGAGGTACACTGAAGTGACAAGATTAGATATGATCTCTGCTCATATGTATCTTGTGATTTAGTAGAAAAACAAGCATTACTCAAGAGGATACATATAAATATACATGTATATTTAGGTTTTATATATTTAATAATGCATGAAAAAATCTGTTTTTTTCTTGCTTTCAAGCATTTGGCTTCATCACTATTTTTATTGTAGCCACTTTGGCAGGTGTTAAGAATATCTCAGTATGCTGTTTGTTTGTACTTCTAATGAGTAACTATGCTAAAAAATCTTTCTGTGTGTTTATTTACCATCTGTGTACATTTCTTGATGAAATATCTATTGACGTCTATTAGTGAGCTTTGTCCATATTTAGATGGAAAGTCTAGAATTTTTGATTTTGAAAGTTCTGTATCCACTTAAGATTTGTCATTATAGCATAAGGGAGTTTTAAAACATTTTCTCCTAGTCTGTAGATTATCTTTTAAATTTCTTCTTTTAGAGTGTGTACATGTATGTTCATGTGTGTGCATTACTGTGTGTGTGTGTAAGCAAGAATGCATTAGTTCCATGGTATGTGTGTTTGTGGAATCAGTGAACAACTTGTAGGGATAAGTATTCTCTTACCATGGGGACTGAACCCAGGTCAATAGACTTGTAGGACAAGGGGGTTTAGCCCACTGAACCATCCAACTCCACGTCCCACCTGCCCTTTCTAATTTTTTCACTGGGTCTTTTTCAGCAGAAAGGTATTTTATTTTGATGGGTCCAATTTCTCAAGGTTTTTCTTTTGGAATCATTTGTTTTATTTTTCTCCTAAAAGATTTTTCACCTCCACTCCGACAAAAAAACTCTTATGTTCCAATTAAGTTAATAATATATTCCAATTCAATTTTGAATAAAGTAGGTTACTGGAAGTGAGGTCATGTTTTTACTTCATCTGGAGATGATGCATTGCTCTAGTACCAATACTTGAAAGCATTTCCTTCACTGAACTGTTTTTGTCAAAAGTTGGTTGAGGGTCTAGAAAGACAACTCAAGAGTTTAGGAGCACTGGCTCTTCAAAAGACTCAGGTGTGATTTCCAGCATGGCATCAAACAACTGCCTCTAGTTCCAGGGCATCTAACAGCCTCATCTGGCCTTCACAGGTATCAGATACACACACATGTTATACAGACACATGCAGGGAAAAGTCCATTCACATAAAATTAAAAATGACAGCAGCAACAACAACATAGGGCAAAGAAGAAATCAGACTTTATTTTAAGACTCAAATATAGAGAAGGACAGGCAGTTTCTTTTTCTCTTTGTGTTCTCTTTCCCGTTCTCTTTTTTTCTTTTTCTCTTTCTTTTGAGACATACTTTCTGTAGCCCTGGCTGCCTTGGAACTCACTCTGTAGACCCCTTGCACTAAGATATCTACCTGCCTTTGATTCTAGAGTGCTGGGATTAAAGGTGTGTGTTACTATTTCCAGCTGAGAACTTTAAGGAAATTGGCCACAATAGCACATCAAATAATTCTAAAAACTGATAAAATGGAATTGTGTACCATGAAAAAAAAAATCTCTGTACAGCAGCAGAAACAATTTTCAGAGCAAAGCATAGCCTACGGAATGGAGAAAAGTCTGCATCGGACAGCTTATGTCTAGAACCTATAAGACCTTCAAAATTCAATTTAAAAAGTCAGCCAATGAATAAATGGGCTAATGAACTGACTAGGTGGTGCTCAAAGGAAGAAATGCAAATGATTGAGAAGTACTGGTGTAAGTTCAAAAGGGTGTGTGTGGGGGCAGATAGAGGAGGGAGGTAGGAGGGAGGGAAAGAGGAAGAGAAAGAGGGAAGGAGGGAGAGAATGTGTAAATGTGTGTGAAACAGAGAGAGAGAGAGAGAGAGAGAGAGAGAGAGAGAGAGAGAGAGAGA